AAGCATCAGAGGCCGCAGAGTGAATTTGAGGAACAATACTCGTCCATTGGAGAGTGGTACAAGAGAGGAGTGCAAGAGGTGAGGGTGTATCAGTAAGTTAGTTTCATGTAGACGTTACAAATTAACTTTATAGTTAATTGCTCTTTTTGTTGTTTCTCTGAACAGAATTCTGTCACCACTAAATTTCGTAAAGGAGCTTGTGAAAACTGCGGTGCAATGACACACAAGAAGAAGGACTGCTTGGAGGTAAAGTGGATAAACCAATCTTTCATCTTCCAGTAGAGACAATATTACTGTACAATATACACACATATATGTTGTGTCTGAATGGCTTAAAATAATATCTGTGATAAATAATGTTTATTTCCCACATTTATTCTGTTTTACAAAGAATATTTACAGCAACAAGATAGCTGTTACAATTAATGTGCGCTCATGAACCAATAGAAGAACAGAATAATAAAAATGTAAAATAAATTAACAACAGTAGCTGTAACAACATGATAATAATTATTCTTTAAAAAAATACAAATACATTCAAGTGAAGAACATCTGTAATCCAACGAACGTGGGATGGAGGATTTTTGGCCCTCCAGTTGAGCAGTATCAGTTGTCTTGTAAATGAAACGGGGGAAAATAGTCAGACTGCTCCGTTAGTCCTGACTGAGGCCTGGGGAGATAATTAAAGTAATTTAATCCATGAAATGAAATTTTTATCTCAGCCAAATTTCCCAAGAGAGTAGGAAAAAGTAGCCCCTCTAAACTCTGTCGAAGGCTTTCTCTGCCCCGAGAGATGAGAGCTTTCCTGAGTGTTTGATGTGGGGGGTAATAAATAGTGTTCAACAAAGTCTGGTCTGCTGAAATTATGAATAGGGCAGATTCAAGGTAAATAATGTTAAGCTCTGACCTTCACTTTTGTTTCATCAGCGACCCAGAAAAGTTGGGGCAAAGTTCACAGGCACAGGCATAGCTCCAGATGAACACGATCAGGTACAGCTTGACTTGGACTATGATGGGAAGCGGGATCGCTGGAACGGCTATGATCCAGAGGAGCACCAGCGCATCGTGGAAGAGTACGCCAAAGTAGATCTGGTAAGTGATAAATTAGGCTTGGTTTAAGTCATTTAGTTCAAATTGCACCAAAAAAAAAAAAAAAAAGGTCAGAATTGATGCTTTTATTATATTTTTGCACCTTGTTTTTTTTAGAAGATAATTATATTTGTGAATCTGACTTTGTATTTGTTTCTGCTTCTCAGGCCAAAAGGACCCTGAAGGCACAGAAGCTTCAGGATGAGTTGGCCTCTGGAAAACTGGACCCAACTGTAAGTGTCCAGTAATGTGTGAAGATTTTAATAATATATTGTATTGTCATCTAATTTAAGAGATAAAAAGCGGTCTCTTGCCAAGATGGACACCATTTAATTCTTTAAATCCATTCTCTGCAGGAGCGGGAACACGACAGTGAGGATGAGGATGAAGATAAATATGCAGATGACATCGACATGCCTGGTCAGAACTTTGACTCCAAGAGACGAATCACTGTCAGGAATCTGCGTATCAGAGAAGACACAGCTAAAGTAAGAGACACAAAGTTAAAGCTGTTGATTTAAGTGACAGTGGAGGTACTGTTGCTAACACAGAGGAACCCAATAATCTGAATTTCTCATGATTGTTACTCGCAGTACTTGAGGAATTTGGATCCAAATTCAGCATACTACGATCCAAAGACTCGAGCTATGAGAGAGAACCCGTACTCCAACACTGGCATGAATCCTGACGAGTAAGTTATTGTGTGTGTATATACTGATTGCTCAAACATGGTCTCTGGCTTACACAGAATAATAATAATAATAACTGTTGTTTGACAGAGTGGGCTATGCTGGAGACAACTTTGCTCGCTATTCTGGGGACACAATCACCATGGCCACAACACAGCGTAAGTCAATGAGATATTTTCCAGTTCTCTTTATAGGATTATTTGTTTTTATTTCTATAAAAATGCTTTTTGTACATTTTTACTACTGCAGTGATAAGAGGGTATAGTTTCTACTGGAGGTATTAGTTGATCATCAACTTAAAAGTACTGTGAGTAGCAACAAACCCATGTCTCTTCTCTTCTCTGTTTATGTTCACCTGTCCTATCAAATGAAGGCATAAAAAAACCCCTAAACAAATCATTAAAAAAACAAAACCAGAACTAATAAAGATATACCAACAACTTAAACAATGCTTCCTTTTGAAAACAAAATATTTTAAAAGAGTCATATACATACTATAAACTGACTTAAAAAAAAAAGTATTTCAGTATTCTGCGGCCACTAATCAGAAGGTTGGCGGTTGGATCCCCTGCTCCTCCCGCTGCATGTCGAAGTGTCTTTGATCAAGATACTGAACCCCAAATTGATTGTTTGTGATGGACTTTGCCAAGTATGAAACAAATAGTAAACAAATTGTGTGCCATGTTTTTTTTCCCTGTTTTGGTTTATTAATTGTAGTGTTATAAAGTAAGTAAGTTAGTAAGATGGGTACGCAGTTAATGGGGCTCCCCTATCAATACACACTGTACCGATTGCCCCGACTGTAGCTCTCTTTGTGACAAAAACAATATGGCTGCCTATTGTAGAGTTACAGCAGTTTATAAAAACCTCATTTCATATGGGAAATGAAAACCGAATATCACCCAGCACTATGGCACAGATGGTAAAGCATGCTCAAATGAGTAGTTACTTCTTTTGCATTGTCAGTTATATCCTGTAATTACTTTATCAATAGCTTCCTGAAGTCACCTTGCCTTAGCTAACAGATCAACAATCATTATCTGTTATCAAAAATCAAGACTGTGAAAATTATGGGAATTATTTTCCCAACCAAAGCATGTTTACTGTTCTGTATAACGTGGTTGGTATATGAGATGAGGCATTCACTCTCCAACATGTATTTGAACTGCAGCTCGTTACTAAAAGTCACTGCTTCATCTTGTGACAGTGTTTGCATGGGAAGCCTATGAGAGAGGCTCTGAAGTGCATCTGCAGGCTGACCCCACCAAGCTGGAGCTGCTCCACAAGTCCTTCAAGGTCAAGAAGGAGGACTTTAAAGAGAAACAGCGGGATAGCATCCTAGAGAAGGTACACAGCTGGCATCTTTTTTTTTTTTCTTCTTTTTTTTTGCAGCAGGCTGTTAATTGCATGTCACACTGTGCAAAATGGGTCTTATAAAATCTAGGCCACAATCTGTGTCAGACTGTATAATATCAGCTTTGATGCAAGCAGAGAATGTCATCAAGAATTCAATATATTTCTCTCAGCCCAACATTGCATGCTGTGTAGCTGTTTAAGTGTTCATATTGGCTGAAGACTTGAGTGATGATTTCTGTGCTTTTGTGTGCGACAATCAGTATGGAGGTGAAGAGCACTTGGATGCACCGCCACGGGAGCTGCTGTTGGCCCAGACGGAGGACTACGTGGAGTACTCTCGCCACGGGGCAGTACTGAAGGGGCTTGAGAAGGCTGTGGCTCGCTCCAAGTATGAGGAGGATGTGCTCATCAACAACCACACTGTAAGGACAAGCAGAACACTCCCCATTGCAGAACAATGTCCAAGATTTCACAAAATTTGTCATGTATGGGTTTGTTTGTATTCTAAACACAAATCTCCTGTCTTTAGTGTATTTGGGGCTCCTTCTGGAAAGATGGCTTCTGGGGGTACAAGTGCTGTCACTCCATGGTCAAACAGAGTTACTGCACAGGAGAAATTGGAGTTGGAATAGTGAGTATATGCACTGACAGGGTTCAAAGGCTCGGGTTGATGCACACAGTAGGTCAGTTTTTGTAACTTGAACTTTTTGTTCTCTTTGTAATCTAAAGAGCAACTCAGAATGTGTCCCATTTGAAGAAGGACTGACTGAGCCACAGGAGGAAGAGATGCCAAAGACTCTGCTGGAAGTAAGTGACGCTGAGGAAAATATTAACTAACAGTTCCTGTATCTTATGATGTTTTTATGTAGATCTAATGTTCATTATGTCAATCTTCGTAATCCCCAGATGCACCGAGATAAGATGAAAGAGAAGAAGAAGAAAAAGAAGAACAAAAAGAACAAGAAGCACAGCTCTGATGATAGTGATTCAGAAGATGAAGAGAAGAAGAAGGAGAAGCTGAAGAAGGTAAAGTTATTTTTGTTTTCATCTGTCTGTGTTTGGCAAATTATTTTCTGTGACTGACCTCTGACCTGTTTCCTCCTCCCAGGCACTAGAGGCAGAGGACAAGAGGGTGAAACACATAGATGCAATAATGCAGCTGGATGAGAGGAAGAGGCCGTACAGCAGCTTGCACGAAGTAAAGGCGCCAACTGAGGAGGAGATGGAGGCCTTCCGCATGAAACGCTGCCGGGCAGATGATCCAATGGCTTCCTTCCTGGGAAAGTAACCTCTTCTTCTCCATCCCTGCCGGCTCCCCTAAACTCTCCCCAAGGACTGTAGACACTGCCAGAGCTGCTGCTCGGTGGAAACAACGTCTCAGACTCATAAAACTCAACTTTTATCTCGTTAACTAGCAGCAGGAGCTTTCTGTTGTGTTACGAACGTAACAGAAAATGTGTACAGTGTTTTTGTTCATTTCATTTTGAAAGCTTTTTGTTTTTGATGCCACATGTTGATAGACTGTAGGACAATAATGATGAGTGCTTTTGTTTGTACTTAGTCAAATTCCACGGGATTAAAGGATTAAAAAATTTAAAAATTACAGTATTCTTAGATTTGGAAGCCATCCTCAGTCTTAACAGTAATTTGAGGAACATAACGACTGTTAGTGGGATTAATGCTTTTGTTTTTATAATAAAATATATATTTGTTTGAATACTTTGTGTTGTGTTGGTTTTTATTTAAATATATTTTTACAGGGAGATTAATATCACTTTAAATTTGTGTGTTTGTGCCAAAAGGCTTAAAATCAACTATTTCAACTCGTGTTAAATTAGCAGGTATGAAATAGATAGAGTTGTATGAATTGAATGTATCAAAAGTTACAGATTGAATAACATTTTTCTCACAGGTTGTAACAAGTTCTCTCTTGCTGTAATTACTTCATTATGGCTATCATAACTTATTAGACTAGATCTCTGCTGCAGTGGATCAATGAACATGCTGTGCTTCCTAAATTGCTTCATAAATGGTGGGATTGGATGCAAATTTAGCTGGTAACTCATGCTGTGTTTTATTTTTATCATTTTTGTAACCGAAACTTATTAAATATTCCAACTTATTTTCATATTTGACAATCTACAGTACAGTATGTGCAGGTCAGAGTTTGTTTTGGCATCACATATTTGTTTTCCTAATAAATTATCATAGAAAAGTGTAACACAACAACCGATTATGTATTTTCTGTTCACATGGTTCCAGTTAAAGGTGAATACATTAGATTTCTGAACACAAGGCACTGCCTCACCCAGCAGCTGTAGCATTTTTATTGGTCTCTCGGCTACTGGCTGTGCATCACAACGATAAACACGAACACATCTGGTACTATTCATAGTGCATTTTATACACTTCTGCAAACCACCTCGTTGTGCTGTTTGATTTTGCATAAAGTTGTTACTTTATCACGAGTTATAAAACATGTCTTTGTTATATATGTCTTGTCACGTCTGTTGTATAATATCCTGTTTTCCCACAGTATGAGTGTGTGAGCATGCGTCACCATTTCAGCTGTGCAATACTGTTGCACTGACTTGAATTCAGTGACATCATGGTGAAAGTATTTTTTGGCAGTGTAAACAGGGCGGATGTTATGGACTATGATTCACTGGGCTGCACATTGCTTTGCAGCGCTTCACTTGAAGAATGATATCTCACCCGATTATTAGAAAATCATGTAGGAACGTTTGCACACTCTTGTGCAGAAGACTTGGATAGAGCTGAAAAATGCAGATGGGTCATAATTCCTCAACTGGTGAGTCCTCTCTCTGTGTTCTTTGAGATGTCTGATACACTCCCTTTGCAGAACATGCTGTAAGCGGCATTCTGTGCTTCGACTTGCGCATAATTGATGTGTCATATTTCTTGTTAATCATTGAGTCATAGCATGAAACCAACCACTCCATTTATTTAATAACTGTTTCCATGTTTTTCATCTGATTCTAGCTGCAGATAGTATGCACATGCTTCACGCTCCCTTTCAGATTCATTTAACTTTAGGTTTTATGTGTTTTGTTTGAAGACATTTGAATCACTTGGTTGTGTCTTACTCACAAAACTAATACAAATGTTTAGTCAACAATCATTTTTCCCTCTGTTCTTATGACTCCACAGTGACCATCATGCTCCAGTTATGTGTGATGTTCTGTTTGGTGCCAGTTGTCTTCTCGCAGTCAACTTATACCTCACCACGAAGAGGTCACAACATCACCATCCACTCCTCCCAGGTGGTCTGCAGTCTGCCAGGCCCGGCGGGGCCTCCGGGGAACCCAGGAGCCCCTGGATCACCTGGAACCATGGGCCCCATGGGGCCTCCGGGGACGGACGGCCCGGACGGGAAGGATGGAGAGAAGGGTGAAAAGGGAGATGAAGGTATGCTCTATATCTATGATTTATATATCTGTCAAGTCTATTTGGATTTCTTTTATTGCAGTTTTAAGGATGTCTAACAGGGAATTTACCTCTCTAGTGTCTGACTGACCCCAAATATAAGTAACAGCACAATATAGGTTATATTACATCCACACATACTGTACATTTCTTTGTCTGCAATTGAGTTTTTGGTAAACAAAAAGAATATTCTTTAAAGCATAGCCCATATAACAAATAAAACTAGTATTAATACTAACAGTACTTTATGGTGATTTAATATTCTGGGCTTATATTAGATATTTTGCTTCAAATGTTATTATTATTTTTTACATATACAGAAGTGGAGTCTTTGGGACCCCCAAAATAAGGAAGTACAGCATATGTTTGCAAAACAAAGGGCAAGAAAACTGAACAAAATGCCTGTGGTAATATATTGGTGTCACAGCAAAGTTTATCCAGCAGATGTGCTGTGGTTTACAATACTGTGGCAAACAGCACAGAGTAAGAGAGAAGAAGCGGCTCTCAGCAACGTCAACTAGACACTGGTTGACAAATTACACAACATATTAAAAAATGTTTAACTTTAATATTTTTTAATAAAGTTATTTGCTTAAGAAAGCAGCCTTCTGAGGGTCTATTTTCATTCCAGCTCTAAAATTCCCTATGTTGGACGCAACATCAGTAATCTGTGTATGTTTCCCCTCTAAAATCGTTATCAGTATTGTTCACAATGATCCCATATCAGTCGGTCTCTTTCCTTCAGGGCAAATGATTAACTGTAAGGTTTAAAGACGGATTGGGGAGCTACGATAGGTCCTTCTGAGTTTTTTCATTCTCTTATAATTTTGAATCTGTGGTTAGGTAATCCAGGGAGGCCTGGGAACCAAGGCAAGCCAGGTGTGAAAGGGCGGGAAGGAGTCATCGGCAAGGCTGGACCTCGAGGACTTAAGGGGCCACGAGGAACACCAGGGGTAGCTGGGAAACGAGGACAAAAAGGTGAACTGGGTGACATGGGCCAGCAAGGAGCTCCTGGAGGCTGCAACTGTGGCAGTACAGCCCGGTCAGCCTTCTCTGTGGCGGTGACAAAGAGTTACCCTAAAGAACGACTGCCCATCCGCTTCAGCAGGATCCTGCTGAACGAGGGGAATCACTATAACGCCAGCAGTGGGAAGTTTGTCTGCGTCATCCCCGGTGTCTATTATTTCACCTATGATATCACTCTGGCAAATAAGCACCTGGCCATCGGGCTAGTCCACAATGGACAGTACAAGATCAAGACATTTGATGCAAATACAGGAAACCATGACGTGGCATCTGGTTCTACTGTTCTCCACCTGCAGCAGTCAGACCAGGTCTGGCTGCAGATCTTCTACTCTGAGCAGAACGGACTCTTCTTTGACCCTTTCTGGACAGACAGCACCTTTACTGGCTTTCTTATCTACGCTGACCAGGACTTTCTCAATGAGGCTGATAGAAAAGCTAATGCTCAGGATGACAGTTAATACTCTGAAATATATTTGTTTTGTTTTTTTAATAATTGGCTTAATTTCATATCAAAGTATTATGATAGCAGATATTTGAAGCTCCACAATGGTTGGCCTCGGTATGTTGTTTATCATGTTCTGACACCAGGGGGCGCACAAAGAGAGAAAAAAGTCAATCGCAGTTGGGGGACTAGTCTGTGTGTGGGCTGCAGTATCCTTCATGGTGCTATAATTCTGACAACATCTTTTCAAATGGTCTCTAATAAGTAACAGAATAAGGAGACATAACTATTGTCGTCCTGTTCATTTAACCCTGATTTAAAATTTAAAGAAGCAATTGAATAATGTTTTTCTTTTAATATTTGTATCATTAGATCATCATTTTAAATTTTCAAGTTAGAACTTTTCATTCTCCTCATTGTTACGTCCTCATCTGTAATTCTGACAGCATGTCTTTGTTTAACATTACCTCACAGCCTCAGAGGCAGATCTAGATAAATATTCATGAGGTGGCCAGAGGGTGGCATGGAGTCCTTAAGGGAATATGTGCTTATTTACTTGTAAACAGTCACATATATCATTATCTACTTGGAAAAGCCCCCAAATTAAGATATTTGAACTTAAAAATGTGGCACGTTAGTAAAGCATTAAATAGAAATATGTTTTTTCATTCAGCCTTCACTTAAGCCTGAGTCTAAAATGTGGCCATAACCATAACACGTTATTTTTAAATGAATGTGTTAAATTTGGCGGTATTTGACACCAAACTGGGGTGCCAGCTGGGGTGGCCACATGTAATCAGGATTCAATAAAAGGGTAACTTTGATCCAAAACATATGTAACTGGATTACAGTTACATTTAGTAAAAATGGGGATTATTTAGCATGATTACAATTTTAAAATATATCCGTTTTTCTTTAAAAATACAAATTTTTGATGTTAGAAATGTTCTTTCTTTCTTTTCTCGGGTCACATTGTTCTGTTGTCTTATAGAAAACACTTGCATCAATACTTCTTATTGTTCTTTCTTTTCTTTTATTTACATATTTGTCGTTGAGGTAATCCAAAAGTAACGTGAGGTAATCATGTGACGTTACTTTTATATTGTGATACTTGGATTAGGTTACCGATGACATTTTTTACCCGGTACTTAGTAATTTTATCGGATTACATGTTGAAGGTAACCCTCCCAACCCTGTGCATGTCTTAATATGAGAATAGGGTATATTTAACTACGGGTTTCAGTTCTACTTTGTCCATGGAAACAGTAGCATTAACCAACAACCAATCAATACAAGGTTTTCTACTGGCTCTAGTGAAATAAGTAAGTCATAAGTAGGCTTATAAGTGATAAAATAAATTAAAATAAATAAATAATTAAAATAATGAAATAGAGAAACAAAATATAAGTAGTATTAAAAATAAAAAGTTTTGTGAAAAAGGTCTGCGTGTGCTATGTGTTTGTAGTTCTGACGCTGACCTCTAAAGGACTACAACTCCCAGGCTGGAGGAAGGACCTTAACGTCGGGCGCACGAGCCTCGCACAGCAACAGCAGCAGCTGGTGCAGCCGAGGAGGTTACTTTGTTACAGCGGAGCCACCGGAGAGGAAACGGCCGAGGCGAAATCTCTCTCTCTCGGAAAAAAGTGTGAACAGTTTCGGGGGAAAAAACGTCGCGACCAGCAGCGCGTTGCCAAGGTTTCTGAGGTGGCGGCCGTTTTGTGAACTTGTCACCGGATTTGAACGGTGTGTTTTCGCCGGGGAGAAAAAAAAAGGAGGTATTTTGTTCTTCAAAGTTGAGCCGAAGAGGAGTTCTGTCGTTCAGGATGTCGGACTGAGACAAAGGGGTCTGGGGGGCATTCCCGTCGGAGCGGTGAGTGGCACATGTAATAAAAACCCTCAAACCCCCGAGATTTAAAAAAAAAGTTCACCCGGTTGCTGCCACTCTGGAGAAATACGAGGGTCGTGTGTGTGTTGTGTTTTTATTTGTATAAACGAGTGTTTTCTCTCTCGGAGCTCACTGGGCAGTTTTAACTTGTGCAGCCTCCACTGTGTGTTTCCTTTGGTCTCGTGGTGCAGACGCGTTTTGAATGATCATTGATAACCAAAGTGTGATTGTTTATTAGCGATACTGTAGCTGATCGCAGCCGGATAATCGTGTGAGAAGTGACATTACTGGATAAAAAGGGGGGCTTCTCGGATCCGTTTGACCTACAGCGTGGTCGAGCGGGCATTTAACTGAGCCATTTAAATTCCCGAGCAGAGAAAATGGCCTATGCAGGGGGAAGGCAGACCTCTAGTTGTGGGTTTAGTGTTTAAAAACTTTTATTTAAACGTCTGTATTTGTCTTTTTCTTTATTTAAACATTTACTTACCGGTATAAACACAAACCTGTAGTTGATTAAATCCATTTTAATGGTTACATTTGTACAATAACTTTAATCCACCCTCTCCTGTATCAGATGGGTTTTCTCAGTGAATATCCTGCTATAATATAAACTATATATATGTTATTATATATATTTTATTCTAGTCATCAATGTCTGCTACTTCTGGAGGTGTTTTTAACTTTTGGACACATCTTTCTCAGCAGGTAAAACTTGATTCTTGAAGTCTCCTCTGGATGGGAAAGATGGAAAGGGAGTTGCAATGGTGGAAAGGACAGCTGGCTGCAGATATCCATCAATCCCTCCGCATCAAGGTGAGTCTGATATGTGTGAGAGCTGCTTTAATAGGATTGGAAACTAATTGTTGTTGTATGAGCTAAAACTGGGTTGATTGTGTCTTAAAAAAGCCTGAAAAAACCCATTAAAATAGTAAAGTCTGAGACCTGAAAATAGCTTTTAACTGTTGGAAAAAGGTCATAATGGACATTTTAAAGATGAAAAAGAAGAATATAATCTGTAGATTGGAAATTATTGTGAGTTGCAGCCAATTAATTGAATTTTTAATGGAGAATTTAAAGAAATTGTGATCAGAAATCAGAAATACTTTATTCACTTGATTGATACAGTTGTTCTACTCATGTTAAAGAATAGAAATAATACTTATATTACAATATCTAACACAATATAGAGAATAGTATAAAATAGTAATAAAAATGGATATCTAATGAGAGCCTAAGAGATATAATAAGATAATAAGAGCCTATATACAAGTACATTTTATTGATTTAATGATTAATCAAGACAAATAACTAGCCAATACATCAATAATGAATAATCCTAAAGTCCTGCAGGCCTGTGTTGATATTCCACAGCAGCATCAAGGCGTATTATATACCGCACCATATATTGAAAGTTGAGAGGAAAATATAATTACGTGGCCCTGTTGTCTATTTAAACATGATCTAAATTAGATTACATGGAGGAGTTAAGGCTCATTAATTGAGAATGTCTTAATTAACCTCGAAGCGTGATCATATTTCTTCCCATGTGTCACTTTAATGGAGACATCTGTCACTTGACTGGCATCTTCGGGGCTGGGACTCTGCTGCCAGCTTTACACTGGGGGAGCTGAATACAGATTGTGGTTTTTTTTTTTAAAGATATGAACGTACCGTAGATTATGTGTGTGTAAGAGTGAGGACTGCTGTGTATCAGATTGTGAATCATAAGTTTGTGAGCCCCCCCTTTTTTTTTTTTTTTTTATAGTGAGTCATTCATTTACACACAGGTTTGCTCATGCTGGACAGTGTCTGACTCAGAGTGAGCTGTCAATTAGACTGAGAATCTGTACGCTGAGCTGGAAACTAAACAACACACCCACTCTTTTTCTCATATACTATAATATGAGAGAGAGAGAGAGAGAGAGAGAGATGGTCAGTTTAATGTTAGGTTTGATTGTCCTATATCAGCATTTTTGGTGAAATCCCCAGCAACAGGCTCGCCGCAGTATATACTGTGTAATGTGACGCTCTTTTACTGTAAATGCTGCAAAGTTACAGAATAGAAACATCTGGTTCATATGGTGAAATGTTTGTTTTTTCATTTTAATAGAAACAGATTAGAGTTGATTTCTTTATTTAGGCACCTATATGAGGATTACTGTATATTGGTCTCTGTTTTAACTCGCAGTAGGCCCGTCGAAACCTTAAAGAACAGCTTATCTTCCAGTTTCTAGATGTCTTTTGATCGTGAATCTCACAATTAGGATTGTTTTCATTATTGATGAATCTGCTGTCAATTAATTGATGAATGGTTTTGTCTATAAAATGTCACTAAATAATGCAAAATACCCGTTAATTCCCCACAGTAGTGTAATTTCCCACATTTCCCATAGGCTATTAATCGATTAGTTTTAAAATTGTCAATCCTAATAGTATAATATAATAAAGTATAGTAGTCGGTTACTTGATTAATTGTTTCGGACGATCGTTTCATTCCTCAGAGAAACAAAGGGTGGATTTTCCTCTGCTATGACCTTACATTTCCTCCTCAGGGTGACCGCTTAAGGACCTAGAAATTGGAAAGCTCTCATGTCCTATCAGGCCTCCATTATTTCTAGTGCTGAAATACAATACATTTGATTTCACGGTCAGTTGACAACCATCAATATCGATAATCAAATAATCATTTAATTGACTTATAAAGTAAAAAATTTACCAACAAGCTTCTCAAACGTGAAGCTTTTGTCTATGTGATTGTAAATGTAATCTGTTTGTTTTATTGATTGGATAAAAAAAAAGGGCCAACTAACGAAAATCTGATTCATCTTCAGATTCTTTCTGGATAAATAGATTTTTTGTTTGTTTAATAAAACATTGCATTCTGATATGTATTATAATTAAAGAAAAGCAGTTTCTTTTTTACATTTTAAAACATAGTAATTACATTTTTAGGGTTTTTGCTTGAATAATTACTTAAATGAACAATTGATTATCAAAATAGTTTCCAGTTAAGTTTAGAGAATCAGCTAATTGTGCAGTCACCTTTGACTATGGGAAATTGTATTAGTGGCATTTTATTTGATATTTTATGGTCTTATTAAGAGATTAATTTAAAATAAAAATATCAGTTGCAGCCTTAATATTTTCTACTTTAAGATATCAAAATTGAGCAGACTGCTCAAAATTCTTTAAAGTGTTAAAAACCCTTTGATGACTGGATGTGTGTGTATGTTTCCAGACATGAGTAAACTGTCTTACTACACACAGTTACATTTATAATGGGGGGGGATCGTGAAATGAGTATCAGAGCTGTGTGTAAAAAGGCCCTCACATAGTTTTCAGATTTCCTGCATGGCGCCTGCTCCCCCACAGTCTCATCCAGCCTTAATGACGTTTGCTGCAGTGGTAATGCCCTGATGTGGGAGATAGCTGTGGTGTGTAGCATGTGGC